CTGAAGTGCCAGGAAGCACTCAGCCGGAGCTTCCTGCTTCCTCTCGTGGGCGGGGGGCTCCAAGCAGTGAACCAGCCTCTGTGCACCCCCTGCCCGTAGGGGTGGGGCCTCGTTCAGTCACTCTGACTGTCAGTCCTGGACCCGGAGCCCAGCACACACCCAGCCCACGCCCCACTCGCTGCTTCTGTTTCTGCCTCTGAGATGTCTGTCTTGTTCTGTAGTGTGGCTGTGGCTTTTTTGTTTTCTTTTGTTTTTTGGTGGGAGGGAGGTAATTAGGTTTATTTATTTATTTTAATGGAAGTACTGGGGATTGAACTCAAGACCTCGTGCATGCGAAGCATGTGCTCTTCCACTGAGATAACCCTCCCCACCCTGGCTGTGACCTTTAAAAATACGTTTTATCTATGATTGCCATGGATTTGGAGTGGAGAGGAGTCCACAAAACTTTAACTGACAGTGCCATGTGGTCCAGAAATCCAGAAGGTTTATTTCTTTATTTTTTTATGTCAACTTAAGCCCAACTTTGAGCCGCACCCCGTGGGGCTGGCAGAAAACCCAACCCCTCCTCTCCCAGACCAGCTCCCCACGCTTCCAGAAGAGCAGAAGAGCCTGGAGCTGCAGCCACCACGGGGGCCCCTTGCGGGGTCCTTCCGCTGCCCTCCGGTCGGCGGCCGCTCCTGTGCCGTGCTTGGCACTCGGGGATCCTCGCCAAAGTGGAGAAACACACGCCTGGGCTTGGCCTCCTGGGGGCGCCGCGTGGCCAGCCCACCCCCTTCTCGGACTTGGCTGTGCTCTGATCCCGGGTCTTCTGGGACCGCCAGTCTCTCTCCCTCCCACTCGCCCCTTGGGTTTAGAGCTTTATGAAACGGGTGTAGGTTTTTACAAAAGACAGAAAGAGCCTTTGGCTTCAAGCTACTTTGGCTTTCTGCCTGGAAAAAAAAAAAATCCCTGAGGCGGAAAAAAAATCCCTGATGCAAAAAAAAAAAAATTACCGAGAGCTGGGTGATCTGCTTGAAGTTGGAAGAGGGAGAGGAAGACAGAAAGCAAATAAATACGAAGACCCCCCTCCTCAAACAGGGTGTTTCCGTGAGTTTTCCAGCTCATTGAAGCTTCCCTCTTTAGACACAACCATCCTGTAATTGCTGAGGATGTCCTAGGACAGTCCTGTGAGAGCCAGTGAGGGAGCTGCCGCTCCGGGAAGCCAGGGGGCGCGGGTGGAGGCACAGCCCGCCCAGCCGAGCCGGACCTGAAGGCGTCACCACGTTGCGGCCTCACAGCAACGACCTCGTGTTACCAACAAAATCACAGAGTGGCTTTTTTTTTTGTATTCTGTTTGGTAAGTTGAGGGGTATGTCTATATGATTTAGAACGCTGGTCTTCAAAATGGTAATGTTTTTTGTTAGTCTCTCAAAGAGGTAAGCTTCAGTGACCCGAGGAAGTCACAGAACACCATGTTTTGCAGCAGTCCTGGGTCGATGAGGTGTCACTGTTACCTGTACCATGAGAGTGTGCACCATCCCCTCAGTGACTCACTGGGGCCACCCGCTGACCCATTCCTTCTGCACCCCACCGCATTCATCTGTAAGGCCTGGAGGTGTACAGGTGAGTGGGGTCATCCCCAAGAGCTGTGTGCACCAGCGGCATCAGGATGTGGCCTTAGCTGGAATAGGGCCTTTGTGGTATAGTTAAGGTAAGGATCTGAAGACGAAATCCTCCTGGTTTAAGGCAGCCTTAAACTCAGTGATGCTAGTCCGTAGAAGAGAAGAGGAACCAGAGGGGAAGCCCCTGGGAAGAGCTGGAGGTCAGAGTGGCCCTCTGCAAGTCGAGGGCCTCCAGGCATTGCCAGCATCCTCTGTGAGCTGGAGAGAGGCGCGGAATGGCTGGCTGCTCCCCCAGGGCCTCCAGGATGAACCAGCCCAGCCGGCACCGTCATTTTGGACTTCCAGAACTCTCCAGAACCCTCTAAAACTGCATGAATTCCATTGTTCGAAGCCACCCGGTTTGTGGTCATTTGATACGGTGGCCCCCAGAAAATTGAGACTGGAGGTTAAACTACAAAGTCCTCAAGCGTCCTCTCAGGCCCACCGTCTACAAGCAGGAAATGGGGTGGCGTCAGCGGGTGGCCCTGGGGAACCCGGCGCGGAGGCCCCTCCTCCAGCATCTCCGTGTCAGCAGGGCTGCGCTGGCTCCGCGAAGCGCCGCCCGTTCCAGCCGCCGCTCCTCCCCCAGAAGCTGCGCCTGGGCCCGGGAGGCGCACGAGAGAAATGCCTGCGGGTCTGCCGGCTGCTTGCCCGGAAGAGAGGAGATTCCGGGTCGCGCTGAGTGACTCCCGTGGCTGAGGCTTCTCATTCGGAGAAGCTCCATCCTGCTTTCGGTAGTTCCAGAGGAAGCCCTAGAGGAGGGGTCAGGTTCCAGTTCAGTGCGTACAGCGCCCGCCGGGGAGGGCGCCTCTGCCGGGGCTGGGAGCGGGGCTCAGGCCGGTGGGACGGGGATTGGACCAGATGACCTCCGAACCCTGAACTCTGTCTTTCTGGAAGCCCGTGTTCCTGGGGCTGTGAGGCCTCACCAGTGCTAATTCACTCACAAAACCAGAAATCCCAGCAGGTAGGGCCAGGGACCTGCCGTTTGGCAAAGAGAGGTCACTTCACCCTGGGTGTGGAGACATGAGGCCAGCGACGGGGTGTTTCCCGAGCTGGACACACCCCGACCAAAGGCAGCTACAGCTACAGGGGCTGCCCCAGCAGAGGACCGCCCCCAGGACCGTCTCCCCTCGCTCACAGCTCCTCACCTTTCTCAGGTACCATCCCATCCCTCTAGTGACGCCCTTGTAGCTCCACCTGTCTCTCCCAGGTTCTGAATTGCGCCGGACTTCCTGTAACAAATGCCCTGTTCACCTCTCCCACTTTTCTAAAACCCGCCCCCTTCGGGAAGCCTTCAGCGGCTCCGCCCCGTGTCTGTTCCCCTCTAACTTGGCGGGCTGTTCCCGTGCTTCATGGAACCCACCAGCATCTGAGAAGGTGCATTTTTGCTTCTTTGTGACCTGGCCTTTCTCTGCCTCTCACATGACTGGAAGCTCCCTGGGACCAGGGACTTGGTCTTACTGGTTCTCACAGCCCCGGTCCCTCACACAGGGCCCTGGCACACAGCGGGGGCTTCAGGCCTTCGGGGTCAGGTCTGTTGCAAACAGCAGAGACCCCAAGGAGCTCTGACTCCGCCGGGCTCGGCTTTGCGCTTCCTGCAGGGCTCTGGAAGGCGCTTTGGGCGGGTCTGCTCTGCACGGCCGTCGGAGACCCAGGCTCCTTCCTCTCTGTGACGCTGTCACCAGGCAGTCCTCCTGGACTGAGTTGTCTGTCCAAGCTCTGACCTGTCTGTCCCCACGTCGGACGGCAGGACGGGAGAGTGATGGCTTCGGGCTGAGCCGCTTTCCCGAGGACACGTCTCAGGAGACAACAGGTGCCCGCTCACGCTCGCTGACCAGGCCCTCGTCTCAGGGCTGGACACGGATGCCCGTGCGGCCGAGAAGCGCGGTTTTCTTCCCGGTAGCCATGCATGTGGCTACAAAGAGTGTCATTTCGAGGAAAGGTGGGACAAGCGGCAGTTACCACCTGAGTAAACCATCGGACGAGAGCCCGCCTGGAACCCGCAGAATGCTTTGTTCCGTTCTTGGTTGGTCTGGGAGGGTCTGCCATGATCGCGATTGGTCTACCCAGGGGACGGCAGGCCCCTGAGAACAGAGACATCCTCTCTCCCTCCTGTGACGCCCTTTCTGCCCCTGACTTCTCTTTCTGTCCCCACGGTGCCAGGCCCAGTGCCCTCACACCGTGCACACAGCAGGTGGCTGCAAGCTCTGGGGCTGGTGGCGATGGTGGGGGTACAGGGTCCGCGGAGGGCGCTCGTCTGCCTTGAATGGCTCCAGATGGGCGTTCGCTGTTCCATAAAGTCCAGGGTAAACACACTGGAGAGCAGGGCAGGGCTGCTCGCACAGTCCACTCGGAAAGGGGCTTTTTCAACTTGCCAACAGTGCCCCATTAGTCTCTGAATCAGTAAAGAAACAGATGCTCTGGGCAGAGAGAGAAACACCACCAATCTGAGTCCGGGTGGAAACTGAAGGGTGAAGGGGGCCCTGGGCCCGAGCAGACCCCTTCTGCTCACAGAATGGTGGCCCTCCTCCGCTCCTGCCCACCACTGTCTCCACCCTCTCCACAGCCGGCGCCTCGCTGCTTTCGAAGAATCAGATCCCTTTTTACAAACAGACTTATCCATTTACCCCAAAGAGGATTTGTTACCCATCACGTCAGGCTGGGATGGGAGTACTTTCAACTTTTATTGCCGATGTGAATGATGTGTATGTACTTCGGGCATCTTCACAGTAAGGAGCCACTCTTTCTGTCTCCCTCGAAGTTCACGGTAGCCTCTCACACCAGCCCAGCTTGGCAGGAACCCAGTCTTACCCCTGGAAGGTCCAGAAGTCCCTGTGGTGCTGCTGAAAACTGGGGAACCCTGCCTTGTGGCTTGGCCCCCAGTTCCCAGGTTCTCTGGGCTCCTGGCGGCTCCTCCTGCAGCTCCATCCTGCCCCTGGGCCACTGTCACTGGCCCCTTGGGGCCCCGTCTTCCTCAAGTCATGCCAGGGCCCACCCAGGTCCACCCTGCCCTGACTCAGCATGTATCCTGGGGGGTGCTGCTCTGTCCAACAAATGATGGTGACCCTCTGTTACAGATCAGGCATGATCCTGGGCCCTGGGACACGCAGTGAACACCCTGGAGGCAGCCTCTGCCCTGCTGGGTCCCACGGTCCACGGGGAGGATGGACGCTCACCAAACGAAACACAGAGACACAGGGAAGTTTGAATGGTGTTGACTGCTTGCTGGGGGGCGGGCGCATCTGAGAGGTGGGGAGGGGAAGCCCTTCCACAGAGATGACTGGGGGTCTGAGACTGAGGGGTGTTAGCTGGGCGAAGGGTCATGGAGCTGGGGTGGGGCAGTGCTGTGGGGCTCAGGGGTGGGAGGCGGCCCGGGGGCCGGGTGATGGCCTCAGGGAGGCTGGCGTATCTGTGGGTGGCCGGCGGGGCAGACCCCGTGGGCACTTCCTGGTCGACTCTGGGTGATGGGGAAGCCAGCAGGGGTTAGTGAGCAGAGGGGGACAAGGCCTGGGTGGTGTTTGTTCAGTGTCCAGGGGCGCTGCTCGGAGAACTGTCACATGAAGCGGGTTCCAGGCAGAAAGTGGAGGCATGAGAAGGCCCAGGATGGAAGGCACCACGCTGGCTGGACCCGAGACCGACCCTGCGGTCGACCTGAAAGAAGGGTTGTGACTGAGCGGGAAAGGCTGGCTTCACAGTGGTCCTCAGCGTGTCAGTGAGCCCAGCTTCTGTGATCTGCTGGTCGGCCTGGCTCCGGCCGGTCCCCAGGGGTCTCTCAAACTCGTGCTGGGGGGTTGGGGGGTCAGCTTCCAGCCCCCCCTTACGAGAGGAGGAGGAAGTCAAAGGAGGGCTCGGCCTCGCACAGTTGCCACCCCACGCTCGGCCAGGCTGAGAGGCGTGCAGTGACATCGCACGGCTTTTACTTCCACCTTCTCAGGCTCCCTGAGCTTTTCACACTCCTCTCTCTCTGAAGGCAGAGGGACACGCTGGTTAAGTGCGCAGGCTCTGGGCTCAAACCCCCTTCCGTCCCCTGGCAGAGAGGTGGTGGGTCAAGGGCCAGGCGAGCGGGACGCCGGCCCGGACCGGGATGGGGGATGTTAGCTCCAGGTGCTGATACCATCCCTTGTGCTGGGGTGGCACTTTAAACTAGTTTTTGAGGCCAAATGTGAACTGAGCACAGCGCCCTTTATTTGTCACGGATTTTGCAAATATTTCCAGTTTTTAGCTCACCAGTTTTTTCCAATGTGTGCCTTATTCTTTTTTTAAAATTGAGATATAATTGACTTGGATTCACTTTCCAGTTTTAATTTTGTTAGATATAGGGATTTTTGTTTGTTTTTACATAATCAAATATAGCAAATTTTTTCCTTTAGAGAAAATCTTTTCCTACCTTGATATCAGATAGACATTCACATACATTTTTTTCTAGTTATTTTAGCGTTTGCAACATCTTTTTTAAAATTAGTCTATCAAATACTCAGCTCAGACATGCTATGATCCATTTCTGGATTTTCCCAGTCACTTTAGAGACATAGCCTTCTAACTGGGCACTAGTATCACACTGTTTACTGACTATAGTTTCAGAATATACCTTAATAGATTTCAAATCTGTGTTCTCCAATTATTCAAATTTTTTTAAGTTGTGGCTTTTCTTTTCAGCTTTTCATTCCAGTAGGCACTGAGGATCATTCAGAAATATTTTATAAGCTTTCCTCAAAAAAAAGGAAAAAGATTCTATGAGATTTTTATTGAAATTTAATTAAACATGTATTAAGACACTTGGAAGAGTTTATACCTTTATAATAAAAAAGATTTTCACATCCAAGAACATGATCTGTTTCTCCATTGAGTAAATTTTTCTTTACTATCCTTCACAAAAATTGTGCAGTCTTCTTTTCTTAAGATCTATGTCTTTCTAATAGAACAAATTCCTACCTTCACAATATTTTGTTCTTGCTGTCAATATAATTTTTTCATTGTTTATAGTAAAATATTTACTGATTTTTACACATTTAAAGTGTAACATACCAAATTATCTCATCGGTTATAATAACTTCCAGGTAACTGTTTAAGATTTCCTTTCGACAGCCAGATCTTCATCAAGTGGTGGTTATTTGATCTTCTACTTTTTACTGTCAGTGCTGCTTTATCTTTGTCTTGTGTTGGCTAGGATTCCAGAGCATCCTCACAGACAGGCACAAGTTTTCATGTCCCGTTCCTGATTTTTATAGAAAACCTCTAATAATTCCCACTTTTAAATGTGATATTGTTTGTTGGCACGATACGTAGTTTCTTTATCAGATGAAGAATCCACTGACGTGAACTAGGCGTGCTGTGATTCTCATTTCTCAGGACCTACAAATTCTGAGTCATTAGGTAGCAAAAGAAAAAGAAAGAACCCATCTGTTCCTGGTTTTCTGAGAACGTCCGTATCAGTAATTGTACACACTCAGAGGGGCTTCAGCTGCGAGCAACCGAATGTACGACTAATGGTTCCTTAAATAAATGGGCGCTTATTTTCTGAGATGCAGTACTTAGGTCTCAACTCTCTGAAATAGTTTTTTATCGTTGTGTATCTTTCATTCTGATGACAAAGCAACATCCCTGCTGGGAACGGGGGCCCCTGGGTTGTGGTCCCTTTCCTCCGCCGTCCCCAGACGCTGTTCCGCCGCCGTGAGCGTCGTCTGTGGTAGGTGAGGTGTCTCACGCTGTCTGAGTGCTTTTCCTTCTTAGGTAAGCGATTCCTTTTGATTGAAAATTTGTTGGTTTTTTTTTATGGAGAAACTATAGAATTTGTCATTTTTATTCAAGTACATTTAGGTAAAGCTTGCATGCCACAAAAGGGACCTCTTTTAATTGTGCACGTCAGTGAGTTCTGACAATTAACGCGTCACATGTTCATTAAAACTTCCATTCTGATCCCGGTCAGCCCGCTGGCCCCTGACAGTGACTGCTCTGCTTTCTCTTCCTACAGATCGGAAGTGTCATTTCTAGAAATTTCATATAAATGGAAAAACACGGCCTGCGCGCCGGGTCTGCCGTGCGCACCGGGACGCAGCTCAGATTGTGTTTTTCTCCGCAGTCGAGCCCGGAACGCCACGAGCCCTTGCGCGTGCAGCCGGCAGACCTTCCTCGGCGGGAGGACCCTTCCAGCGCTCAGCTACTGCCTTCCTCCCACTGATATCCTTCTCCACTTCTGGGACGTCCAAAGCTCTCGTATATTAGGTCTCCGGCTCCATCCTCCAAGTCAGTCTCGTCTTCCTGTGTTACATTTGTCCCTTAACCTTCCCACTTCGTCTGTTGAGATGTTTCTTGTCCTCTTCTCCCAGGGGTACTAATCGGGGTCTGCACCACGATCTCTTCTTTAATCAATCTGCTGGATGTTTTAATGTCGAATTATGTTTTTAAGCTTCTGGAACTCTTTCAGTGCTGGGATTTGGGTCTTTTCCGTGTCCTCATAAACTCGTGATGCAGGTGTTTATCTGGCTTCCAGTATTCTGTTTCACTTGTCACATTTTTGGATGGTTCACTCCGATAATCTCCTCTCTGATGCCCGGAATCTCACCCTCCCACACGCCATCCCCATAGGGGCAGTTTTTTTCCTTTTTTCCTTTGTCGGAAGTCTGGGGCTCAGGTCTGCTGCTGGAATAGCTTTCATATCCAACAGGTAGAAAAAGCAAAGGAATAGCCCACCCCATGGCTCTCAGCCCCGCCCCGAGCCCCCCAGAGGAACTCTCTTGGGCCCCCTTACTTCAGGGGTAGAGAAGACTCAATACACCCATTCTGTTGTTGCATGAAACCCTCTTTTCCAACTGGGGGGTCAGCTTCCCGCAGATCCTTGGTTCTCCCCCTGGGCTCTGATTCTGCCGCTCCTGACCGCCCAGCTCGTGGGGGACGTCGGGGGTGAGTGTGCCCCCCCAGCTGCCCCAGGCCCCAGCGGTCCACACTCTGCAGAGTTGCTGGAAGAGGCAGGGGGCTCGTTCAGGCCTCAGTGATCCCTGAGCACCCTCTCAACCTTCCTCTCCGCTGTTGGGATGATGTAAAATTCACTCTCCTTGTATGAAATACAAGTGTTTTCCACTTGCTGACCTTTTCCGGGTGACACATAGCTGACAGTTGTGTGCTATTTGCAGACTTTTTTGAGAAATAAACACAGTCTGCCCTTCAAGGTAAAGTTGGTATCTCAGTCAAGAATGAGAAAATAGCTTCTTTAGAAACTGCTTCTGTGCTGATGGGACTTTGAACATTGGTGGTGTGAAATTTTTCCATTGTTATGTAATCGTGAGACTTGAGACAATATTTGCCATCTACAAAAATCTTCGTATATCTGGACAGTTTAAAAACTTGAGAATGGAATTTTCTAACCCATCTGACAATCTTTTAAACGTTGGGATCCAGTGAGACTCAAATCCGTGGGTTAAATTGTGTGAAAGCTCAGCTCCCCCCGCTAACTTCTAAGAGCAGGTTATGCACACTGGGGAAGAAGCGCAGCGGCTGGGCAAAACGGGAGCAAAGCTCCTGCGTAGCAGAAGGATGGGACTGGGGGCTGACCGCCTGCCTTAATCAGCGCAGCCAGCTAATGCCCTGCTCCCCTCGGAGCGTCACGATTCTGTAAAGCAATAAAATGCAGTTAGACGTGGACCTCAGAGCGTGACGTCGCAGCTGTTCAACCAGGCTCGGCCGGCAGCTCACGCTAAAGAGAACCGCTTCGGAACGTAGGTGTGCTGCTAAAGCGGCTGTGCGCTCGTGCACACACGTAGACAGGAAGCAAACATGTACTTGCTGGGCCTCCCGCGGCTGCCCTCAGCTCCAGGTCCACCCTGCTGGCCTGGCTTTGTGGTCCTGGATCCGGCAGACATGTCCCTTGGTCACTGGTGGGACACTGCGAGGCTCAGAGGAGGCCCCAGGGTGTCCCTCCTAGCAGGGCGTGGACCCCTGCACGGGGTGGGGGGCTCCCAGCCAGCTGGCTGGCCCCCGGAGGGCAGCTTCCCATGCGCCCTTGCGGCCCCCGGAGGCTGTCCTCCCTGGGAGTCTTAGCAGGAGCCTCGGTCTCCTGGTCCCTCGGGACCTCTGTCCCCGCCCTGGCCGGCTCTCCGGTGAGTCTCTGGGGCCCCAGAGAGCACCTTCCCAGGGTGATTCATGGCCCCAGAAGGCAAGTGATCTGGCCCCTGTCCTCATCAGGGGCTCTCTCCGCCCCTCAGTAGCTCCCCGTTGCTAGATAGTGACTCCTCACCGCCAGCTTTCCCTTCTCAGATCTCTCCGAGGCGGCTGTTTCCTGACCAGAGAGAGCACTCACCCAGGCCCAGGCCGGGAAAGGGCCGGGAAAGGCCCAGGCAGGGCTGCCTGAGGGGCATGCGCGTGCTTGGCTGGCGGACGGCTGGCTTCTCTCTGTGCACGCGTGGTCTGATCAGAAAGTGGCTGGGCTCCCGCACCGGAGACGCACGGCACACAGACGTGCATCAGGCAGGGAAAATGCTCCTCCCTTGCCCCTGACGTCCCTTCGGCCCAGCCGCTCTACCCTTCTCCAGGAAGTGTGGGCACTGGAGAGCAGGTGCCGGGGACAGAGCCATGGAGAGATTGCCTGGGGGGCTGGCGCAGGCTGTCCTGGGCTGCAGATGCCTTTAAAGGGATCCCAGTGGGCACAGGGCGGACTTGGGCAGGAGCTGGGTTTGGAAGCGTGGATGGGGCCCAGGCAGGAAAGGCTCGTGGGCAGAGCTCTGCACTGGGACAGCCCAAAGCTGGGGCAAAGGGACGCAGCGGCTTGCCACCCTCTACCCCGGCCCCCAGCAGCCCCTGATGCCAGCTCTCAGGCAGCCAAGCTCAGGTTCTCCCAGGCCTTGGGGAGCAGAATGGAGAGGCTGCAGAGTGAGCTGCAACCCCCTGCAAGGGGCACATCACACTGGGATCACCTGTGACCACTGTGGGCCTCATGGCTGGGCTATCTCAGGCCTCCCTCCTTACTGTGGAAGGAACAGGAAGACAGACCAGCCACTGCTTGCCAACCGACCAGGGATGAGCTGGGTGCCTTGGGGTGCTGCGGGGTGCTGCTGGAGGTCGCTGTGTGCTGGTGAGTACTGCCGGGTATGACTCAGTACTTCTGGGTACTGCTGTGTACTGCTGGGTATTACTGGCAGCCATGTTTGGAGGGCCTCACGTGGTGATTTTCAAGGCAACAGACCCGTCAGGGTGTCACGCTTGGTCCTGATAGAGGCAGCGTCTTCCGTGTTGTCTGGGGCCCGTGCTCTGCAGGCATCGGAGCCGTCAGCCCCTGGCGTGCCACGGCTCCTCTAAGCACTGTGTCCGGGTCGTCAGCCGGCACACCTTGGACCGCTCTTGTCGGCTCCAGGTGCCCCTGAGCGCTGTTCTGGGAGAAGCTGGTTAAAATTCTGCTAAAAGCGGGAGTGCGGTAAGGGAGGCCAGTCCTTGTTAAGAGGAGCAGGGGCTGCCCTGTGCCGCGTCCCTGGGAGGCTGCCCCGGCGCCCGCAGGGCGTCCCAACACCAAACCCCAGGGAGCAAGAAGATGGCGGGGCCCGTGGGCCAGTGTTTCATGGAATCCCGTTTTGGGAACCCCTGGCTTGGAGCATCTCTCTCTCAGGGGAGAACGAGTCATTCTGTGCGTGTGGGGAGCGACTGCAGAAGCCCCGGCAGCTGCGGTGATAACTGGGCTCAAAAACCCAAGCGGCGTGGCGCCGCCTGGCGAGCCACGCCTCCCTGAGCTCAGCATGTCCGGCTGGGCGCTGAGAACGAGGTGGCCTTGACCAGAGCCTGGGCTGCGGCCCTGGGAAGACGGCCATTCCTGGCAGATGGGAGGGGCCACGTCTGAGGTGGATGGAGGGTCTCATGGAGGGTGGGGGACGTGCTGCAGGGTGGCTGCAGGGTGGCTGCCACCTGGAGGGACCAATGAACCTAGAGGAGATGGTCAGTCGGGCTCAGAACCCTCGGCCCTGGGCTATCCAGGAGCCCCTGTGCTTCTGACCAGCAGGTGCCCTGAGGCAGACCCAGGGGGCCCTGGCCCCCTCCCTGAACCACAGATCCCTTAAGATGCTGAGCAGATGGGTGGTGGGTGCTCGAGCCCCTGAATCCTTCGTGACATCACGGAAGGCTGTGGACACTCCCCTCGCCACAGAGCCCAGCTTGACGCCACAGGCAAAGCTTGGCCGAGGACAGACTTTGGAACAGAGAGCGGCCAATCGGAGCCACTCCGGGGGACAGCCACCCTGGGTGGGGCATCTGGTGGGGGTTCAGAGCAAGCCAGGGGGAGCTGAGGTTCTGGGGAAACTGGGTGGAGTCAAGGGCTGGGACAGAGGCTCTACGTGAGCCCCCGGGCCGCCCTGCACTTTCCCACGACGAGGAGTCGGCTGCACGCGTGGCTCTGAAATGACCCCTCTTCACCGTTTCCTCACAGGGGCTGCTCTTTCCAGCCGACGCAGGTTAGTTACTCTTGAATCATTTTAATCTGCTCAGTGAAGCATTTCCACCTCTGGGATTCGGATGATTCATAGAAGACAGAGCTCTCCCCTTTGCAAAGAGGAGCTGTGCATTAAGCGGCTGACTTATGGGGGCAAATCCAAACATACGTAATTTTCCTGCTAAAACTGGGGAGGGAGGAAGATCACGTGTGACCTTAAAGTAGCTTCACTTTATTCCTCAAGACAGACATTCCTTTGGCAGGTTTTAAAGTCTCATTTAAAAAATAATGGGAAACGTGTATGTACGTAAAGCTTTAATGAAAAGTTAAAAAGGGAGGGGGGCCTGAAAACAGCTTAAAGTTCTGGCACCAAAGGACTGGTTGTACAGATCAGGATGTATCCGTGCAGAGATGCATCATGCGGTCCTTAAAAAGGAACCGTACTTACTAGAACCAGACAGAAAGCATCGTGAAATAATGCTGAGCGCAAACGCACCGCACCGAGCAATACGGCCGCGGTCCACAGTCTGCGTTCCGGGCCCAGCAGGCCCGCGGGACACCGCAGGGACGAGCATACTAGTGGGGGCGGGGGCGGGGCAGGTGCTGCGGCTGCCTGTCCCCTGAACCCTCAGCGGCTTGTGCACATTGACCTCTCTGATCAAGGCTCCTTTTTAAGAAATGGGTCCCCCCACTGGGGGGAAATTATTTTCAGACCCTGCAGAGACCCGAGCTCGATGGACTGTGCCATGGACTGTTCCCTGCCCTGTGGACCCTCTGCTTGTCCGTGGCAGAGGGAGACAGTGATGAGGGCAGGGGTCTCATCATAACTGTAGCCCGAGGAAAGCGGGGGGATCCCCTTGTGTTGGTAGCAGCTGAAAGGATTTGGGGTGGGGGCAGCTTAGAGAAGTGGAGACGGGACCGGCAGCTCCGAGTGGGAGCAGAAGGGAAGAGCGACCCGTGTCTGCTGCAAAGGGGCAGAAGTGGCAGACGCCACTGGCGGCTGCACCACCTAGGGATGGAGTAGGGATGCAGGCTTCAACAGAGTAGAGTGGTCGTCTCTGTGGACCGGAACTCCGTCATTCCCATGAGGATGGCAGGCCCCAAGCCCTGGCCCTCAGGTCACCATGACAAGCCAGGAAATGAATGTTGGAGGGGAAGGTGACCCACAGGCTGGGGCTGTGTCATCTCTGTGGGGAGCACCAGCCATGCATGGAGCGGACATCAGTGATGCTCTGTCCCGTCCTTAGAGAGAGACCACGGACAGACTATGCACCTCCCGGGAGGGGTGCAGGTCACGCTGCTCGGGGGCAGGTGGTGAAGGTGGGAAGGTGGGTGCTGTCCCCCTTTACATCTCTCTGCTCTTGCTCCACTGGGCCGGAGAGGCCATGTCCCTGCTGGGGGACCCTCACGTCCTCCCCGCCTTGGCACACTTGGGAGCTGACAAGGATGTCTCAAACACAGAACTGCTCTTCACCCACTTCCTTCCGTCAACTTCCCTCCTTCCTCCCAGGGAAAGAGCCCAGGGCCCACGCGGAATCCGCGCAGCCTCCCCCGCAGCACAGTCCGCGCTCCCCCCACAGCACATGTGCTCTTTGTGCCCTCCCTGGCTTCTCCCCCATCCTCTTTCCCCAAGGAGGAAATTTGGTCCTTGTCTTGATCTTTGCTTTTCTGCAAGGCTGTCAGAAATCTGGCTGGAGGTCCCTGCAGCCTCCCGCGTCCCCTGCCCTGTCCACGCCAGCTCTTCTTCCCAGCGCGAACATCTGGCTGGCTTTACTCGCAAGGCTGAGTGCGGGCGG